AAGTGAGCTAATCCTGATTAGAGAAGAGATAATCAAGAATATCAGTATGAGTATCAGCATGGCTGGCTGGGGAATTCTGGGAGCAAAAGTCCATATATCTTAAAGTTGCTAAGGCTGGGAAACATTGATCTATACTTTAGGTTTCAGCTGTCCACTCCACTCCTGAACTGCAATATTCAAAAGGTATCAGGTTGCAATCCTTAGAAACTTTGATCAAAGTTCCAAAGGGATAAAGTAAGCAAAAGAATCCAGCACCATATAAAAGTTGTGCCTAGCATTTGGCTTGGGAAAGTTTAAGACTGCAAGTATGTAGCAGTCTCTTTTATTCTGAAAATTCTGGTCACATTTGTTGGATAAATTTTTCTGGAGCCAGATATATGAAAAACTACCTCGGGGTATTTAAACATGCTATTTCCACTGGACTACTGGGAATATAATATATCCTTAGTTCCCTAGAAAAATAATGTTTATTTTGCAATTTATTTCCAGCAAAGTTGATTTCCTTTGCTATACAAGTAAGAGGCCCCTTATTATTAAAGTGTTCTTCTATCTATCCAGATCTGAAAATACCTCCTTTCCATTTTGCAACTATAAGAGTCAGTTTGGTGTAGTACTTAAGACACCGGCCTAGAAACCAGGACTGTGTGAGTTCTAGTTCCACTTTAGACATGAAGCCAGTTCGATGACCTTGGGTCAGTCTAAGGCAATGCTAAACACTTCTAGAATCTTGCCAAGAAAACTTCAGGGACTTGTGTCACCAGAAGTCAACGCTGACTCAAAAGCACCAAAAAACAAAACAATGCAAAAGTTGTATCAGTAGAAAAGTGCTGAGCTCCTCAAGATACCAAAACTCACATTCTCTTGAGTGACCAAGTGATCACCCAGGATGCCATGCACAGAAAGCTGTAATTTAAGCACTAAAAGGCTAAAAAATAATAATTGCTAAACAAAATTGAAAATAAATGCAGATGATGAGGCTGCTGCTAGCATTCCAGCAGTACTTAGGCAATGCACTACAACATTTTATCCATCATCCTAACTGGCTGCCTAACAAGAAGGAATTTAATCAGCAAGATCCTGTTTCCTGCAACCCTGTCTGGCAAGGGACATCTCCTCTGACCCTGACAGCTCACTTGACTGATTTATCTTGATTTATCTTATGTAACCTCAGAACAGAATAAGTAACAAAACTTCAGAGCTGGCACACAAGGCAAGTTAGCAGGCACTGCGGTTGAGAGAATTGTCGTAATGTGATAATATCTACCAATATCCGTTAATAAACTCACTCCATTAGTTTCAGTTCGTTTTGCAAGGCCCAATAATTCAATGCAACTATGTACCTAGGACAACCAAAGTATTGGGTAACTAACACAAAGCTATCTCTGCCACAGAAGAGGCCTATTTTGTTCATAAATCACAGCTTATAAAAAGCATTCATAAAAATCTAAGCTTCCTGGCTCCTACAGCATACCAAAATTATCAACCTGGTTCTTGAACCAAGTCTCATCCAAAGCAGAGGTGGGTTTCAGCAGGTTCTGACCAGTTCTGGAGAACTGGTAGCGGAAATTTTGAGTAGTTCGGAAAACCGGTAGTAAAAATTCTGACTGGCCCCGCCCCCATCTATTCTCTGCCTCCCTAGTCCCAGCTGATTGGGAGGAAATGGGGATTTTGCGGTAACCTTCCTCTGGAGTTTATTTATTTATTTATTGGATTTGTATGTCGTCCTTCTCCCAAAGGACTCAGGATGGCTCACAATAATAAGAAACAGAAAATACAAAAGTTAAAAGACAAATTAAAGCAGAATATCCAATAAATAAGGTTAAACGTGGGAATGCAAATTCAAATTTAAGATTTAAGAATTTTAAAGGCTACAAAATTAGTTTAGAGTCAACCCAGGAGTTGGGTGGGAATGGAGATTTTACAGTATCCTTCCCGTGCCATGCCCACCAAGCCACGGCCAAAGCCATGCCACACCTACCAAGCCACACCCACAGAACCAGTAGTAAAAAATTTTGAAACCCACCACTGATCCAAAGCCATCATCCACCACTTAACTGAAAATCACAAAAACTGGGCAGATGAACCATATCCTAAATAACATTTCTATCTTCTTTGGATTAGGTTCCAGCTCATTCTATTTATCGCAAATCCAGCAGAGAGATTCAAAATGTTCAAGTGTTCCAAAATGCATGGAAGAAACTGGGGTATCTCCCATTTCTTGTGATTCCCTGTTCTCCATTCCTGGGTAAATTTCATATGAAAGTTATAACAGAACTGTTTTGAACATATCTTAATTGCTATAGAGCAGAACAATAATCCCAAAGCATCCCTTTTTGGGAATCAACCATCCAAGTAAGAGCAAAAACACAGGAATTTATTACAATATACTTCCAAAGCCAAATCAGACTATCAATCCAAGGTTAATATTACAAAGGCTACCAAGAGAACTACAAACAAGATTGTACTTCTTGCCTTCCATTACTTTGTAAAATTCATCTTTTCCCCAATCAAAATAAATTTAAAAATAAATTTGAGCTTTGTTAGTAACAATCTATACATTATGGACTGACAAAATGTTGTTTGATGCTAGTCTTTAGCTGATAATGGTCAGCTTTTACCAAAAGCAGCCTAATCACTATCTCAAAAGAGAATCTAGCTTATTTTTCTCTTCTCAAGGAAAAAAAAATTAGAAAAAACTGACACCAGATAGATATTATTCTAGATATGGTTGATTAATGGTGGTTGATTAATACTGTCCAAGGAAACTATCCATAAGCAAAAGTCCATAATGGAAGCACATTAAAGTGAAGTCCAGGTCATATCAGAAATAAGTAAATGTTATCTTTGAAGTATTTTGCAAATATGTCAGAGTGAGCCATTGAAGGAACATCATAAATAAAGCATGCAGGCATTACTTGTTTGAGATCAAGGGAAACTCTCACAAAAAGGCAGAGTTTTGTATTTGTATTAGTTTGCAACCCAATACAAATGAGTGTTTTTGTATAACATTCAATGCAGGTAGTCCTTGATTTAGGACAGGTCGCTTAGCAGACCATTCAAAGTTACATCAGATTCCCCAAAAATTACTTGCAACCCCATTTCAAAGTTACGACAACTATGACGTACCCCCCCCCCCACACACACACGGTCATTTGCTCTTACAAGGATGTTCAATCCTGCTGAGTCCCTGCAGTTACTTATCCACCCACTGGAGTTCAGGCAGCTGTAGCAGGCATGAATTAGCTGGCGCTTGCAAGCCTCCGTTTCCTTCTCACCCAGCAAGCGAGGCGAGGTTAAGGGAGCCAGAGTTTGCAAATTCCAACTGATCTGATCTTCTCTTACCTGCTGGATGGGAAGAAAGCTGAAGGACTGTAGAGACCTTGTCAAGAAATGGAGCATAGGGTGCCTCAGGTGGTGGGAGGCCTGGGCAGGCATTCCGGGCTTACCCCCGAGGCACCCTACATTCTATTGAACGATTCTCTCATTCATTTTATGTTTGCATCAGAGAAAGCAAGGAGTGGGGTCATTAAGTGAGGCTGTTTTGCTTAACAGCTGTTGTGACATGTGACCCCTAATAGATAGACACCATTAAGGTCATATCTTGAGGATTGCCTATAGTAAAATAAATGAACTATGGTTTGACATCATGTCCTAATTCATACAACAAAAAGAGTCACAAATGCATGCACAAGATAAGAGAACAAACTCATCAGGACAGGATTCATGAATCCATCTGCATTTGAAAGACAAGTGTCACTGTTTTGAAGAAATCAAAGTTCACATTCTGGATAAAGAGGAGAACTGGTTTAAAAGAGGGGTCGACAAGGCCATTTATGTCAAAATTGAATAGCCCTCCCTCAATAGAGGGGGAAGATATGACACCACCTATCAGCAGGGGTGGGATTTAGTTGGTTCGGACTGGTTTGGGCAAACCGGATGTTAATTTTAATCTGGTTCGCCGAACCACTTGTTCCAAGGACTGGTTGACCCCACCCACCCTGCCCCGCCCCTCCCAGGAGTCTCCACACAACCCGTTTTGCATGCCAAGGAAATGCAGGGCACGCACAGAGGCTCTGAGAGGGTGAAAAACAGGCCTACCGGAAGTCTGGAAACGGGTCTGTTTCCGGCCTCTGGAGGGCCTCCGGTGCCTGGGTGGGCCGTTTTGACCTTCCTGGAGGCTCCAGGAATACCTCTGGAGCCTGGGGAGGGCAAAAAACGGGCTTACCAGAAGTACCGGAAGACTGGACACGGGCCCATTTCCACCTTTCGGAGCCCAGGGGAGACTGTTTTCACCCTCCTGGAGGCTCAAGGAAAGCCTCCGGAGCCTGGGAGGGTGAAAAAGCCCCCCACCGCCGTGGTGCAGGAGGCAGAGAAGGCGACACCCCCATGGCCACGCCCACGCAGCAACCAGGGAGCGAACTGGTTGCTAAATTTTTGAATCCCACCCCTGCCTATTAGCAGTCCTAAGAAGGTTCCACACCAGTTTACCCTTGGATTCAGACGACTCTGAAATTACAGATAAACCCTCAAGTGGCCTCAACAATTCTCAGAGTGGTAAAAACTGGATGACTGCGGAGAATATAAACCATTTCATTCCCCACCAGTCAGTTTGAAGTGGAGAAGCTTCTCAGATGAGAAGTGAAAGGTTTTCAAATGAAAAAACCAAGAAAATCCAGTTGCCTTTTGGAAAAAGCATGTTTGGAATAGAATTGCTAGGTTCACATACAACACCCTGAACCAAAGTTGTTTAATAGGACTGGCAGCACTTACAAGCACTCCCAATTCAATTCCAAAATGGTACTTCAAAGTGCAGTTACCATGCTACTTTAAGAATGGCCAACAGATGTAATATTTCTGGCCCAGCATACTCTGAAGTTCCCTTTCGGGACTAAAACTAAAATGCTATGACCTTACTATCATTTTAGTATATTCCAATGTGTAAATTCAAGTTTAGACACTTGCTAAATCTCTCTATATCAGTCCTAGTCTATTTGCCTTACCAACTTCCACAGTGTTTTCCGTTTCTGTTGCCTCCAATCCATCCATGCTGTCTTCATCCTCCACCGTAGGTTTTCCTCTATTTCGAGGCCTATGAGAGGAAAGAAAAACACAATTTATAACATTAGGAAAAAAGTACCAAATTACCAAGGAAATTATTTTGCTCATTACAGTACTAAATTTTCTTAAACATGAAACATTAAATCTTACAATACTAATGGGTGAAATGTACACTACAGAGAAATATCAAGATGTGCATTTTCTATCCGCTCCTAATGTAACATTAGAGGCAAATGAACTACAGGTCATCTTCGACATACAACCATAACTGAGCCCAAAGTTTCTGTTGCTCAGTGAGACAATTATCAAGTGGATTTTGACCCATTTTGCAATTTTCTTGCCATAGTTGTTAAGTGAATCAATGCAGTTGTTATGTTAGTAATATGATTGTTATGGTTGCTTCCCCATTGACTTTGCTTGTTAGACGGTTGCAAAAGATGATCTCAGGACATTGCAACCATCATAAATATGAGTCACTTGCCAAGTGTCTGAATTTTTATCACATGACCATGGGGATACTACAATGGTCGTAAGTCTGAAAAACAGTCCTCAGTCATTTTTTTCAGTGCCGTTGTGGCTATGAACAGTCACTAAATGAACTGTTGTAAATTGAAGTACTTTACTAAAAGAATCTAGATCCTAAAAGGGCATCCCCTTTTTTAAACAGTAATGAGTAAATCTTTTTAACAGATCTCTCTATTCCAAACAAAACTGTGATCTAAACTAACTAAGTATTGATCTTTGGATCTTGGCCATATTTTAAATTTCAAAATAAGACTGCAATAATTTTATTTAATGAAAAGAATATAAAATATTTGGGTCAATTATTAACAATACCAAGTTTAATCCAGGAATAGCACAACACCCAGTCACTTCTCAGAGATGTGCAGCTACTGTATATAAATTTGATTAATAAATATAATAAAAAATTATTGGAGACTGTAAGAAAAGTGGTGGGGGAAACATCAAAATCAAAAGGACAAATACAGAAAAGACACATAGATATGCATTCTATTATTTAAGCCAAGTAAGTTCCTTTGACATAATGAATTTAACAGCCAACCTTTTTAAAATATTCTCTGAGCAGTCCAATAAACATGGCAAAAAATCTTTTAGTGAATTAGTATCATCTTAATATCAAAATGCAAATGCTCATTTCCCACTATAGTTCCCTTCTTTTTAAATTTCACAACTTTTTCTTTATAGTTTGTATCATGTATTGTTAGTGGAACATGGTGGCTCGCATGGTTGGGATATTGGGCTAATGATTGGCAGGCTTGTGTTTGAGACCTGGTTCTTGCCACATGAGGGGGATAAGCTTCTGTCACTTGCTCCAGCTCCTGCCAAATCAGCAATTTGAAAGCATGTGACCTCAAGTAGATAGATGGGCACCGCTTTGTGGGCAGTTTAAGGAGACATGAAAGGAACCCTCAACTGGGCACCCCTCAGGCAATAATGATGTCATCAGCTAATTCTTTCAACCCAGAATTACTTTGGATATGACTGCAGTATCATACAGAAAACGTACTCCAGAGGATAGGAACAAAAAAAACTTAATTTGAATTTAATTTGCTCTTAATTTTAAGTAAAGTTTAATTAATTTTATTTCTCTAGGAAAATATTTAATGAATTTTCCCTTTTGTTGCATTTAATGCATACATTAAATGCAACAAAATGGATACGAGTTTTGGATTTCTCTAATTCTATAGGCTTTTAGATTTAGAAAATGATGCTATTAAAGTGACTATTTGTTTTCAGTCTCTTCTAAAAATCCATAATACTAAATCTACATGACATGCAAAATGCTATTTGGGGAGAAAATAACACAAATATTTAAGGCTTATGCAGTACAGTATATGGATATTGTAGAGTTTTATATACTAGCATATTAAAATATGTTTCATAATGCTTCTATCAATATATCTGGAACAAAATTAAACTATCACGGTCTATTTGCACATGCTTTATGGTTCTGATGTGACCTTTTATGTGTAATTTTGTCTCCTCTATCTTGCTAGTTTTGTTCAGAGAAAATTCTTTATTACATAATCTGCAGTTAACATTTCTCTGTTTTTGAAAAAATTCTTCTACAGCACTCTTATAAAAGAGCCTTGAGGACTTTCAAGTAAGATCCACTGTGTTCAGTACAATTTACTAAGGTAGGTGTGATGCTTGCAATCCTTCATGCTCTGAACACAGGATCCAATGTAAATACGTTTTTCTTCTTTTAAGCAGTAGAGAAACTTGTGCAATACTAGTAGCTAGTTCCAGATCAATAGCATGTTTTTTGCAATCATGAAAGATAATGAAATCATGAGAGAATATTAGGCTAATCATGAGAGAATATTAGGCTAATCATGAGAGAATATAGGAAAATATTGCTATTTTAAAGAATCAAATCAATAGACTGAACTTGATTCTTCCTATAAACTTAACAGTCAATCTTGAATCAGAGAAAAATAAAGAAAATTGTATGCATATGAGAAGAAAGAAAGAAGATACTGTCCAAAAGTTACAATCAGGTCCTATATATCAGAGATAATAGGTCAAGATATGTAACTGAAAATATTCAGTCAAAATTATGAAGACCACATTGATCCCCCCCCCCATTTTTCTACTTCCTCACTGTAAAATTTTACATAATGGTTATAATTGGCAGGGGCAAAATTATATAGCAATTAGGGCATGACAGCAAAAGCAAACAAGTATTGAAAATGGGTTCACCACTTCTGGTAACAAGCAGGTAATTATCACAGCAGCTTGAAAGGGGCATAATCAAACCAAGTGACATCATTCCACCCACATAATAAATGTGAAATCTCTTTATGTCCAATGCAGCTTTTACACATAGCTGGTAGTGGAGCCAATCTACTTCTGACTACGTTGACGTATCCTTGAGTTAAGGTCAGAGAACTCGCAGGTTTGGCCCTCCTCACTATCGAGGGCCTACCTTGATGACGGGTTTTGGAATCCTGAGAGGTGGCATGCGGCGAGGAGGGGGTTGTGGGGTTTTTTGGGGAAATTTTTAGATAAGGTTTTAAAGGTTTCTGGGAGGGGGGTGGGCTCAGTGGGTTTGGGGGAGAACCTGTCGGGGAGGAGGCCAGAGCCGGCTGAAGAGCACGGCACAAGAGGTGCGGGAACTGGCGTCAAGGAGGGGGTTAGAGCTTGTGTTGTGGATGGACATTACATCAGTACTGTGGGTGGGAGGGGCAGATATGGCGGGAGCAGGGGGCCACATCAGGTTGTGGGAGCACGCGCCCGCTGGCTCCAAGCGGTGGCGCGCTCCGGCCTCCAATGCTCCTCTCGTTCCCCTGGTTGCACAGACCCTCAGGCCCTGGGCCTTCGGCTGATGCTGTGCAACACCCGGTCCGTGGTAAATAAAGCCCCCCTCATTTGTGATCTTGTTCAGGAGGGGGGAGCAGACCTGGCGGGTATTACAGAGACCTGGTTGGGCCAGGAGGGGGGGTCCCCCTCGTTGAGATGTGCCAACCCGGTTTCCGCGCATTCCATCAGCCGAGGACACAGGGGAGGGGCGGGGGGTGGCGGTTGTCATTAGCGAAGGTCTTGGTCCGAGGGAGGCCACTGTTCTTCAGATGGCTGGATGTGAATCCCTCCTTGTGAAGTGGGGTCATGGGGTGCAGATGGGCGTGCTGGTTACGTACCTAGCTCCCTGCCACGTGACGGCAGCCCTGCCCGAGCTACTCGTTATAGCCGCGGTGGTGGTTGACACCCCCAGGCTTATGGTCATGGGGGATTTTAACCTGCCATCCATCGGTGAGGCATCTGAGGTGGCTCGGGAGTTCATGGCTTCCATGACGGCCATGGACCTGACCCAGTTAGTTCAGGGCCCTACTCACACGGGGGGAAACACGCTAGACCGGGTTTTTGGTCAGTGGTTGAGTGATCTTGAGATAGGGGATATAGTGATCGAGCCCTTGTCATGGTCAGATCACTCCCTCCTTCGCTTTGACCTTCGAACCGCCGCACCCCACCGCAGGGAGGCGGAACTATTGAGGTGGTACCGCCCCAGGCGCCTGATGGATCCTGATAGGTTCCAGACGGAGCTTGGGCCATTTCCTGAGGCTCTGGCACACGGCTCGACTGAGGAGCTGGTGGCCGCCTGGGATAGGGCGGCCGCTGGAGCTTTGGATCGGGTCGTGCCTTTGCGGCCTCTGACCCGGCGTCGATCTCGCCTGGCTCCTTGGTTCACCGAGGAGCTGAGGGAGATGAAGCGCTGGAAAAGACGCCTGGAGAGTGGTTGGAGGGCCAGCCATTCTGAATCTGACCGAACACTGGTAAGGTCTCATATTAAGACCTACCTGGTGGCGATAAAAGTGGCGAAGTATAACTATTTTGCCACTCTTATTGCGTCATCAGATAATCGCCCGGCCACCCTGTTTAGGGTGACCCGCTCCCTGCTCCACCAGGAAGCGCGGGAGGACCCCTTGGAGGGTAGAGCCAAGGATTTTGTACAGTATCTGTATGACAAAATCGCTCAGATTCGGGAACACCTGGACTCTGACTGGGTAGATTCAGGGGGGAGGACAGAGGCAGGTCTTGTGAGTATTATCTGGGAAGAGTTTGATTCTGTGACGCCCGAAGACGTGGACAGGATACTGGGCAGACTGAGCGCAGCCACATGTTTACCGGACCCGTGTCCCTCCTGGTTGGTGCTGGCCTCTCGGGAGGTTACACGAGGCTGGCTCCAGGGGATTATAAATGCTTCTTTGAGTGAGGGTGTCTTCCCTGCCGCCTTGAAAGAGGCGGTGGTGAGGCCTCTCCTCAAGAAGCCTTCCCTGGACCTGGCAGTGTTGGCAAATTATCGTCCAGTCTCCAACCTTCGCTTCGTTGCGAAGGTTGTTGAGAGTGTGGTAGTGCGACAGCTCCCCCTGTACCTGGATGAATCGTCATATCTGGATCCGTTCCAGTCAGGCTTCAGGCCTGGGTACAGCACAGAAACGGCATTGGTCGCGTTGGTTGATGATCTCTGGAGGGCTCGGGACAGGGGTTGTTCCTCTGTCCTAGTCCTAT